GGCCGGAAGCGTGAACGCCTGGCGGATGCCCTCCGCACGTCAGAAGGCCTGCCGAAGGTCGGAGGAAAACTCTCCACTTCTGTCAGAGTGCAGACGCAGAACAGGAAGGTCCAAGCTGAAACTCTCGCTGAGCTGGCGACGGGCAGCGCAAGGGGAAGACTGTGGTGTAGCACGAGTAGTCGTCAACGACCAGCAGAATGTAACGCTTGTGACCCTGTCCACGGACGCGGGCTGGGCCCCACACGTCCATATTGAGAGTCTACAGCGGAGCCATTGTCGGAGGGAACTTGGAGGAGTGAGGGGCGGCGCGCTGCCATCCTTCGACATAAGGAACAGAGGTAGGGGCAGGCCCCGGGAGGAGGGGAGGGAGAGACCGGAAAGACCAGTGACAAGGACACGGTAGGCCATACCTCGAAGACGAGGCAGGGAGGGGTGACCAAGGCGGTGGTGCCAAAGGAGAGTCTGGTGTGATAGGAGACGACACGAGCAGAGGGCCGACTCCGGACCAGACCTAGACGCGGCAGCAAACACCTGACCAGACGCAGCTACCTGACCAGACGCGGCTACCTGACCAGACTCAGCAACCGGAGGAGACGTAGTAGTCAGCATGTGTAGGCTCGACCCAGGCTGACGGGTGAACGTGGCCAGGTGGTGGCCCGTCTGAGTACACATACAGTGGGTCACCCGCTGACCACCAGGAGTGAACTGGTGAACCCACACGTCCTGGAGGTCAGCTCCACTCACCAAGTTCGTAGAGAACAAGGGGAGGTGAAGACCTGACAGTGAGCCAGACGGGACCGCCGGACACGGCAGAACCGTAGAGGAGTGTGCAAGGAGTGGTCCCCTAAAGGGGTCCACCAGGGAGACAGCAACCCGCCGACTGAGCGGCGTGAGTGTGGTGCAGTCGCGAAAGAAAGAGCGGGATGCTTCTGAGTCAAGAGTGAAAGTGTGCAAGGCCTCAGCAAGCGCAGTACTTGAGAGAGCAGACTCACCAGCACCTGGAGCAGCAGGCTCACCAGTTGCTGGAGCAGCAGACTCACTGGCACCTAGAGCAGCAGCCTCTATACCTGGGTCAGGCGACATACACAGGTAACAGTCACCCTCAGCACTAATAGTCACAGCATACATGGCAGCAAGGATAGCATCATTATACAGATCAAAGATAGCAATACCAGACATAAGCAGATCAGCCCAGCGAGGGAGCTCAGTAGCGTCCGGAAACTGTGCGTGCCAGGCGTCAATCAGGCGACCGAAACAGCACTATATAGCGTGCGGCAGGCCGCACGTCTTCCCACAGCGCTCGCCAGTGCGGAGAACGTAAACACAGAGACCAGCACCCTCAGACCTCCCACGCCCAGCGTACCACTCACGAAATGGTTAGGGTGAGAGGGCCTAACGGGAACGCGGCTGCTGCTAGCGTTGGCCACCACCAAAGCCTCCACACTGCACGGCTCCACCCCTACCAGCACCACCGCTGCCGCCACCCCCACTGCCGCTGCCGCCGCCGCCTCCACCTCCACTGCCGCCACCGACGACCCCACTCCCGCCACCACCCCGAGCTCCACTCCCGCCCCCTCCACCTCCTCCACCGCCACCACTGCCGCTCCCGCCGTCCCCTCCATTACCCTTGCCCCCCTTGCCCTTGCCGCTGCGGCGCCTACCACTAGCAGCAGACGCAGCCCCGACCACCTCGGTGCCAACGAGGTCGACATGTCGCACGTCACTCCGCAGTATTCCCCCCCGCAACGTCCTGTGGGCGTGGGCGTGGAGGTCACTCCTGTGGAGGACACAGCAGCCTCGACTTGGCAGCCTCGCCCCGCCTCACCCCCTGGCTTCCCGTCGGTCCTGCAGTTTCCTCCTCGTTCTTCTCTGCGGCCGGTTGCTGCGGAGCCTTGGGGTGTTCCTGCGGGAGGTACTAGAGTCCTCGGGGGTGTCAGTGGTGGAGGTGCTGGTTCGGGGGGTGCTGGAGCTGGAGGCACTAGCACTATGGCGCCCACACCGCGCACTGACCCGTGAGCAGCGACTCCTCAGGTTGGAGAGGGAGGAGCGTGAGCGATTTGAGAGGGCACAGCAGCAGGAGCAGCAGCAGCACCACCAGCAGCAGCACCAGCAGCAGCCGTCGCAGCAGCAGCACGAGAGAGTAGAGGAGGAGTCACAGCCGCAGCAGGAGAGGGTAGAGGAGGAGTCACAGCCGCACCAGGAGAGGGTAGAGCAGGAGTCCCGCCCGCAGCAGCAGGTGCAGTTACAGACACAACAAGAGAGACTAGAGGACCAGTCACGGCCACACCAAGAGACCGTAGAGCAGCAGTCCCACCCGCAGCAGCAGGTGCAGTTACAGACCCAGCAGGAGAGAGTAGAGGAGGAGTCACGTCCGCAGCACGAGAGGGTAGCACAGAAGTCCCGGTCGCAGCAGAGGGAGCAGCTGCACTCGCAGCAGGAGAGGGCAGACGCGGAGCCACAGGAGCAACAGCAGGGGCCGGTATTGTCGCAGCAGACGCCAGAGGAGGCGGAGCAGCAGCGACTGCGCCTACGCGACCTCCCCGACCCAGCACCTGCACGCTTTGTTCGTGGTCCCCTACCGTCCCCTCCTTTTCCCCCTGTTGAGTCCCTGTCCTCGTCCCAGTGGACTCGTCGTTCTCCCCTCAGTCATGCTGTGTCTGCAGAGCGTCGACGGTCCCGTTACCATGCAGACGGTCCGTTCTACCTTGTTCCTCGCTCTCGTGTTCCACCTCCTCCATTCCTTCCACAGCCTCCCGAGTCGTCCCTCACTGTGCTTCATGACCCGTTGTCCGACTACCTTCGTGCCTCCCGTCCTATTGTCTCCCGTGTTTTGTCCGCGTTGGTCACTCACCCGAATGCACCCCTGTCGTTTGTCTCAGCACTTGTTACCACTGTCGCTGGCTTTGCCTCTTCCCACCGCCTTGACTACGCCGCTCACTTGGTGAGTGGCCTTGCTCGTTCTCCGTCCTCTGAGGGTGCTCCTGTCTTTCCCCTGGAGGTCCTAGAGGACACGCAGTTTGAGCTTGGTTTCCTTGCGGCTGCTGTTCCTCATCTCTGCGCCATGCTACTTACCCCTAAAGGGGATCCAGACGCTCTTGACATCCCGATACCTCGCAATCATGCTGAGGCGGTCTCGGGACCCTGGGCCTCATACTGGATAGCAGCTGAGGAGGCAGAGATGGCATCTTATAGGTCCACAGGCACTTACGTCGACGCAGTCCCACCACCTGGGACAAACGTCTTCAGTGGCCGATGGCTCTACAAGGTGAAGCGGCCACCTGGATCACCACCAGTGTTCAAGGCGCACTATGTGGCGAGAGGCTTTAGTCACCGAGAGGGGGTGGACTTCTTCCAGATCTTTGCGCCTACCCCGAAGATGAGTACTCTTCGGGTGCTGCTGCATATTGCAGCCCAGCGCGACTATGAGTTGCACTCCTTGGACTTTTCCACCGCGTTCCGTTAGGGGAGCCTGCACGAGCAGATCTGGCTGCGTCGCCCGCCTGGCTTCACTGGCTCTTTCCCACCTGGGACCCAGTGGCAGCTGCGTCGACCAGTCTACGGCCTGCGTCAGGCTCCACGTGAGTGGCACGACACACCTCGCTCGACCCTTGCAGCGCTTGACTTCTTTCCGTAGTGTGCCGACCCGTCACTGTTTGTCCGCAGTGGCTCGACCCCGTTCTTTGTCCTGGTCTACGTCGACGACCTAGTGTTTGCCACTCCCGACCGACGCGCGCTGGCCTCCGTGAAGGAGGAACTACAGAGGAGACACACTTGCACTGACCTTGGTGAGCTGCAGCACTACCTTGGCCTGCAGATCACCAGGGACAGGGCAGCTCGCACCATTACGCTGACGCAGCTGCATATGGTCGAGCAAATCCTCACGCGGTTTTGCTTCCTGTTCTCCAAGGTACAGCTCACCCCTCTTGGTGTGGATCATGGGCTCACGGCTCCACCTTCGGATGAGTCATTTGAGTCGAGTGGTCCATATCCTGAGCTAGTGGGTTATCTCATGTACCTGATGACCTGTACTCGCCCAGACCTAGCTTACCCTCTTAGCGTCCTTGCGCGCTTTGTTGCGCCTGGGAGACACCGACCGTCCCACTGGTCCGCGGCTAAGAGGGTGGCGAAGTATGTGGCGAGTACATTAGGCATGGGACTTGTCCTTGGAGGGAAGCAGCCAGTTACACTCACAGGTTACTCAGACGCGTCATGGGCCGACGACGCGGAGACGCGCCGGTCTACACAGGGGTAGTCCTTTAGCCCCGGAGCAGGTGCTGTTTTGTGGCGGTCAACTCGGGCGTCGTGTGTCGCCGGTTCCAGTTGTGAGGCAGAGGTGTACGCTGCGGCCATGGCCACTCAGGAGCTTCGCTGGCTGTCTTTCCTTCTCACCGACCTTGGTGAGCGGCCTCGCTCTCCCCTCGTCTTGTTCGCCAACAACAGGTCTACTGTCCTGTTGTGCGAGGAGCCCCGACTGGTTGGGAATGCGAAGCACATCCAGCTTCGTTACTTCCTTCTGCGTGAGTTGCAGCAGTGTGGCTAGGCGCTCGTTCGACGTGTTGTCTCTGAGGCCAACACGGCAGATATCTTCACCAAGGCGTTGCCGCCTTGTGACCACCAGTGTTTATGCATGCAGCCCGTCCACACTTGCTTACGTAGAGATGCCTTGTCATGCATGTCTTGTACTCTTGCATCTCTTTATATTTGCTATATACCTGCATGTGGACTGGCCTTGTGGCCCCTTGTTTGCTCTCGGAGTGTGTGGTGCCTTTGAGCTCCACCCTGAGATTTTCTTGTTCTTGTGGACTGGTCTTGTGACCGTTGCTTGCTCTTGTTGTTTCTACAGGACTACCGTCACCTAGACTATGGGGGTGTGTCAAGCTATAATTCTATAGTTTGTGTAGTTCTAGTCTAGGTGTTCTCCCTTATGTTATTTTCTACTTGCACTAGGGCTAGGTTTTGCATATATCTTGTCTGCACTTTCTGTTTGAGTCAATTTTACATTATGACACGACAGTAGCAGCAGAAGCAATAGAGGGCATAAGGGGGTTGGGGGAGCACCCCTCATAGAAAGGGCTGCGAGGGTCGCCACGAGAAGCTCCTACAGTGACTATGCTAGCCTCAGCTGCAAGGTGGCGCTCCTCGAGCAGGTCGACGGTGAGCTCAGTGGGGCAAAGGGAGAGAAAGTGGTGCCTGACTGAGCTGAGAGAGTCAGGGAGGCGGATGACTAGGTAGATGAGGGTGATGTACATGGGGGGGAGGTTCTTGGCGCAGAACTCGGAGGGAAGCGCAGCGCGGTAGCGGGTGTCACTGGTGCGGAGGTGAGTGATGAGGGCAGCGACTGTAGGAAACGCGTCAAGGTCAGGGAACAAGTACGGTAGCATGAGGCGGCTGAGGGCAGCAGAGGCAAGGGAGGAGTAGCTGTCGCGATATATATTTATATATATTTATAACTGCCTGTAGCTTTAGCTCTAGTGTAGTTATGTTTCCTTGTTGGTGGTGCACCTTTGCTAGTTTGCTATATGTACCTTGTGTGCTATAGTGAACAACACACATTCTTCAATTCTCCTTGGTGACAACCACCTCGACACCCGCTTAGCCTAGGCTACTAAGCCTAGGCCCTTAGTAAACCCCGGTTCCTAGTTTACTTAGTATTGTAACATGGTATAGAGCTAGACCGTCCTATGGGCCCACCGCCCCGTGCCCCGATCTAGTCCGTAGCGCCCGTTTGCCCCGCTCGCGTCACCTGCTTTGCCCCGTGCGTCACCAGTTTTCTCACCCGCGCTTCACCTGTTCTCTGCCCCGTGCGTAGCTCGCCTGCCTACTAGCGCGCAACAGACGCATGCGCACGTGCAATCGTAGCCGCACATGCGACCGCCCACGTGCAGCATTAGCCGCACGCACGCGCGGCATTAGCAGCACGCACGCGCGGCCATAGCTGCACGCCCACGTGCAGCAATAGCCGCTCGCACGCGCAGCTCGTCAGCTGCGCTACCGTCTCACCCGTCTTCGCTGACCCACCCGGTGCCCGGTGTACCACCCGTTCCAGTCACCTCACCCTGAAGTCAGCCGCCCCACCACCTACTTTACCCCGCCCAGAACCGTACAGCACCGCGGAGAATCGGGAATGAAGAGGACGGCGTCCGTGGCGGTCGTCGCGGCCCTTCCCCCCCCCCCCCCCCCCCCCCCCCCCCCGTCCCGCTTTCTTCCCTCCCGTTGCCTCGCTCCACCCGTCGCATTCCCCCACCCCCCCGCCCGACACCCCCCCCGTCGCGACTGTTCGCGTTTGCAGCGGCGGTCACTGTGGGTGAGAGAGGGAGGAGGGGAAGGGATTGGCGGTGGAACGCTGTGGGGGGAGAGGGAAAGGGGGAAGGGAGTGGCAGTGGAATGCTGTGGGGGAGAGAGGAAAAGGGGGAAGGGAGTGGCGGCGGAACACCAGCACCAGGCACCAGGCACCAGCACCGGCGCCAGTCGCCAGCACCAGGCACCAGCACCAGCGCCAGCCGCCAGCACCAGGCACCAGCGCCAGCGCCAGCCGCCGGCACCAGGCACCAGCACCAGCGCCAGCCGCCAGCACCAGGCACCAGCACCACCGCCAGCCGCCAGCACCAGGCACCAGCACCACCGCCAGCCGCCAGCACCAGGCACTAGCACTAGCGCCAGCCGCCAGCACCAGGCACCAGCGCCAGCGCCAGCCGGCGGCACCAGGCACCAGCACCAGGCACCAGCACCACCGCCAGCTGCCAGCACCAGGCACCAGCACCAGCGCCAGCCGCCAGCACCAGGCACCAGCACCAGCGCTAGCCGCCAGCACCAGGCACCAGCACCAGCGCCAACCGTCAGCACCAGACACCAGCGCCAGCACCAGGCACCAGCACCAGCGCCAGCCACCAGCACTAAGAACCAGCACCAGCACCGAAGCCAGTCACCAGCACCAGCACCGGCACCAGCGCCGTTACGCCAGCACCAGCCACCAGGACCAGCGCCAGCCGTCAGGCACTAGCACCAGTGCCAGCCGCCAGCACCAGGCACCAGTATCAGCGCCAGCCGCTAGCACCAGGCACCAGCGCCACCCGCCAGCACCAGGCACCAGCACCAGCGCCAGCCGCCAGCACCAGGCACCAGCGCCAGCCGCCAGCACCAGGCACCAGCACCAGCGCCAGCCGCCAGCACCAGGCACCAGCACCAGCGCCAGCCACCAGCACCAGGCACCAGCGCCAGCCGCCAGCACCAGGCACCAGCACCAGCGCCAGCCGCCCGCACCAGGCACCAGCGCCAGCGCCAGCCGCCAGCACTAGGCACCAGCACCAGCGCCAGCCGCCAGCACTAGGCACCTGTGACCAGCAGCCCCACCTGTGACCAGCAGGCCCACCTGTGACCAGCAGCCCCACCTGTGACCAGCATCCCCACCTGTGACCATCAGCCCCACCCGTGACCAGCAGCCCCACCTGTGACCAGCAGCCCCACCTGTGACTAGCAGCCCCACCTGTGACCAGCAGCCCCACCTCTGACCAGCATCCCCACCTGTGACCAGCAGCCCCACCCATGACCAGCAGCCCCACCTGTGACCAGCAGCCCCACCTGTGACCAGCAGCCCCACCCGTGACTAGTAGCCCCACCTGTGACCAGCAGCCCCACCTGTGACCAGCAGCCCCACCTGTGACCAGCATCCCCACCTGTGACCAGCAGCCCCACCCGTGACCAGCAGCCCCACCTGTGATCAGCAGCCCCACCTGTGACCAGCAGCCCCACCTGTGACCAGCAGCCCCACCTGTGACCAGCATCCCCACCTGTGACCAGCAGCCCCACCTATGACCAGCAGCCCCACCTGTGACCAGCAGCCCAACCTGTGACCAGCAGCCCCACCCGTGACCAGTAGCCCCACCTGTGACCAGCAGCCCCACCTGTGACCAGCAGCCCCACCCGTGACCAGCAGCCCCACCTGTGACTAGCAGCCCCACCCGTGACCAGCAGCCCCACCTGTGAAGAACTGGACAGGGACCATCGTGGGTGGGGAGGGGTCTGGAGGAAGAAAAGTGGGGAGGGAGAGCGGTTCCGGGGGGCGGTTGAAATGGGGGGTGAGGTTACAGGGGGTTGGTTGATTGGGGTTGGGGATGTGGAGGTTAGTAAGAGGGGACGCTGCGGCCACCCCCCCACCTCCACTCCTCATCCCCCACTCAACCCCCCCTGTGTAAAAGGGGGCTAGTAAGAGGGGACGCCGCAGCCACCCCCCCACCTCCTCTCCTCATCCCTCACTCACCTCTTCCTTTGTTCTTATCTCCTCTCCTCTCCTGTCTCTCTCTCGCCTCCTCCTCGCTTACTTCTCTACAGTCTTTCAAAACGCCTGCAATACCCCTTCAGGGGGTGTGACTTACTCTAACTATGTGCTGCAGGCAGTTAAGGGGGTGTGTCGCGATATATATTTATATATGTTTATAACTGCCTGTAGCTTTAGCTCTAGTGTAGTAATGTTTCCTTGTTGGTGGTGCACCTTTGCTAGTTTGCTATATGTACCTTGTGTGCTATATTGAACAACACACATTCTTCAATTCTCCTTGGTGACAACCACCTCGACACCCGCTTGGCCTAGGCTACTAAGCCTCGGCCCTTAGTAAACCCCGGTTCCTAGTTAACTTAATACTATAACAGTAGCGTGCGACAACAGCATCGTACAGAGACTTAGCAGTCTTGTACTGGCCAAAGTGCGCGCGCTCAGCGGACGGCAAGTAACTACGAACAGCAAGGCGGGCAACAGTGCCACAAGTAGTCCAGTGAGAGCGTACCGTACTGTCAGTGTCGGCAGCAGGTGCAACAAAAGCGCCGGACGTGTGATCGAACAGTCAGACTTTGTCCCTGGAGTCGCACTGAAGATAGAGCTGCAAGTCATCCACCCATACCTCAAAATGGACCGCACGGCCCTTAGCATTGAAGGTAAGCACAGTAGGAGTAGTCATGGCGGCAGTAGCAGCAGGGCAGGGCGGCGCGGCTTGGCAAGGCGGTGCGGCTCGGCTAGGCGGTGCGGCGCGGCTCAACTAGGCGGCGGGGCGTGGCGAGGCAGGCAGGCGCAGCGGCAGGCGCTTACCAGGGGCGGGTGCAGGGCAGGGCCGGTACCGGGCGGCAGGTGGGCAGGGCCGCTACGAGGCAGCGGTAGAGCAGGGCCGCGACGGGGCGGCAGCAAGGCAGGGCCGCGACTGGGCGGCCGGAGGTTAGGGCCGCGAGGAGGCTGCGGTGAGGCAAGGCCGCTATGGGGCGGAAGCAGGGTGGGGCCGCGACGAGGCGGCGGTGAGGCAGGGCCGCGACGGGGCGGTAGCAGGGTGGGGCCGCGATGAGGCGGCGGTGAAGCAGGGCCGCGACGAGGTGGCAGCAGGGTGGGGCCGCGACTAGGTGGCCGCAGGGCAGGGCCACGGCAGGGCGGCGGTAGGGCAGGGCCACGACGAAGCGGCGACAGGGTAGGGCCGCGACGAGCGGCAGCTAGGCAGGGCCGCAACGGGCGGCGAGGCCAGGCCGCAACAAGCGGCTAGGGCAGGCCGCGTAGGGCGGCGACAGGGCAGGGCCGCAGTAGGCGGCTAGGTCAGGGCCGCGTTGGGCCGCGAAAGGGCAGGGCTGCAACGCGTCGTTACTGCAGGGCCGCTACGGGCCAGTAGAAGGAAAGGGCGCGAGGCGCGCTTCGGGCAGGGCAGGAAAAAAAAAAACTGTCTTGGTGGGCCCCAAAAAAAAAACGTTCCCACTAAGGAACCTGCTCTGAAACCATGTCAAAATCTAGGAACGAAGAATGACTAGGAGCAGGGCAGTACAGGGTTTGTATATCAGAAACTAATTGGGCTGTACCCCATAAGGAGGGCCCCATTACAGCCTACAGAAAAGTTCTGACATCGGCTGCACGTACGAGGTCGCAGTGGTTACTGTAGTTCGCTGCAATGACCAGCTGGTGAATCTCTATTTTTAGCCCTTTTGTGTACGCTTGGATTTTTCCGCCCTCGGTCAGGTCGATAATGCATCTGCTGCGTGTACAGTGCTACACTCGCGAGTTGCTTGTGTTGGTGAATCTACTGCTGCGCCATGTATACCGAATAAATTGGCTCGAAACGTTCGATGAGGTCTGCTCGAAACTGCTCCCATGTTTTCTCCCCGCGGGCCACGTCAGTGCAGTAAATCCACTCAAGTGCTGGTCCCCCCAGGATTGTCGCTGCGAGCCGAATTCATGCCGCGTCGTGTGTTGGGGTCAAACAACCAATGGCCTCGATGTAAATTTTGAGGGTCGCCACGAATCGTCGAACGTGTGATCACTTCGCGCTTGGATTGAATGCTTCGGGGAGCCTCGGGTGAGCTGCTTCAAGGTTTGGCGAAGGTGGTGCCATTGGTCCGTAAAATGTTGGTGTCGCCACTGCTGTTGCTGCTATCGCTGCTAAGTTCGCTGCTGCATTGACTGCTGCGGTGGCGGCTATGGATTGGTTTGTTAGAAGGGCCTCGATTCGCCGAATCGCCGCCTGTGTCTGTTCTACGTCGGTGCGAAGACTGGCGATGTCGCTAGTCGTCGCGTAGTTGTCGCCTTGGCCCTCCATTCCTGACATTGGGCGTTCAAAAACCGAAATCGAGGGGGAGTGAAAAACACGGAACCGGTTTTACGTATCCGAAATCGCTGCTTAACAGTCGTCGCCCCCGCGGTTTTTTTAAGACTCGGTTTTAGTGGTCGAAAGAAATTCGCGTGTAAACGGGCTCTGATTACCAAGTGTGAGGATCTACGATCAAGCTCAGGAAAGAGAGTTTGAATTGAATGATTCACCTGGGTACAATACGAGGCTATACATAGTCTCGACACAAGGCCAGTTACCTAGGTGTTACGCGAATGTTCTGAGGGTCGCGAAGCGTCCCGAAATGAACCTTCCCGAACTCATTAGAAAGCAATTCGGTGGAAACCGAATAGGCTTGAGTTCGGTACACGTAACATGGTTCGGTGCTATAACTATAATAAAATATAGGAATGCAACTAACCTAGGAAATCAAGCATCACTATGCATGATAAAATAGTAATAGCATAATAAAGTCCAGGCAAGCTAGCAAAGCCAGCATAAGCCGTCGTACTCTCACAATAGTATCAGAGCGACTCAGGAATCCTTTGCACTGCCACCTCCAAAATCTTCGACGAACGGAAAGTGGCGTCCGGCACACGCTCGCGTGTGAGAATGGCCTGGGGATCTGGAGGTCAGACGAATCTGACGGCTGAAGCGCAGACCTACTCGGTTGCGACAAGCAAGGAGACGACGACAATTGGAACCGCCGTCCTCGCACAGCTACTTCAGCGACTCACCAGCTTGGAGCAAGGGCTCCAAACATTGCAGAATGGCGATGGGGGAACTTCTTCCCAACCCTCTCAACTGGCCTCGAACGGCCCCAATACTGCCCTGCACATTTTCTCATACAAAACTTCACCAGCTCCAGCCCTCGACGCTTGGCGCCACCTGAATGGCCTATACCAGCCGAAGGACTTCGTCTCTTCGAGCTGCCTACTCCAACAGCTACTGGAGATGAAAATGACCCGAGGGGAGAAGGCCAATAGCTATATCAATCGCTGTCGGAGCCTCCGCGATCAAATCGCGAAGTTTGGAAGCTCGATCTCAGAGGAGATATCGTGCTCCAAGGGCTCGGTCCAGAGTGGCGGCGCTGTAAGGCGCTTCTCCGACAGCAGGGGGTCATCTCGGAGGCCGCCCTTTGCGCTGCCCTTCTCGTTGAACAGAGGGACATGGATCAGCAACGAACAGCGCCGCGACGAGACCGGGAACGCCTCGCCTTCTACGCCGAAAACACTGAAGAGCGAAGGCCGCGGCGCCTTTACTGCAAAATTTGCAGAAATTTTGGGCATTCGGCTGTTGATTGTGTAGGTGGTTGTGGTATTTTGCTCTAGCTGGTTGTGGGCTAAGGGTTTGGGCAAAATATGCTTGTTAGACTTGTTGCGGGCTAGAATTGATCTCGCACCCAACAAGTACCAACAAACCTTTGCTATTCGCTACAACACCTTTGGTGTTGCTAGTTTAGCACTTTGGGTTGTTGGGGATTGTTGTAGCGCGAGGGTTGTTGTAGCACGTGGGTTTGACCAAGTTGTCACTTTTCAGATCTGAACTCTTGCTCAAGCCATTCCTAGATCTAATCCATGGCTGCCAAGTAATTCCGCCAGGATACCCGATCACACTAAAATCGCGATAGCGATCGGCCTAGATCTTGGTTGAAGGCGTGCGTTATCATTATAGAAATTAGAGATTAAGCCCTTTCCAATGCGTACTTTTTCATAGTTTAGGGTTACGTGAGCTGTACGCAATGTTCCGTCGAAGGCGGCGGACTTAATCTCTTGTTACGCTCTCCAGATTCGCACGCTTTCCATCAGCGGTATCAGAGCTGGTTAGGCCTGCGACATTCCCTCCTATTATCAGATTTTTAATTGGCTTAAGAACCTCTAGATCTAGGGTTGGTTATGGCCCAAAAATTAGATGGCCCTCCTAGGTTCACCGGCTCGGATTTTTCGCTATGGCGATTCCAGTGTACGCTTTGGCTAGGTATTAAAGACCTAGAGGGCGTTTTGGAGGGATTGGAGCGAAGACCTGAAGCTGATGAAGGAAAGGCATCTACTGCAGCCACTAGCCAAGTGAGAGAAGGGTCTCGGGGAGCCTCTAGCTCATCCATAACAAAGGGAAGTGGAGGTGGATCAGCAGCACCGCGAACCAGAAGGCAACGGCTTAGTGTGGAGGAGCTTCTTAAGGCACAGGAAGCATGGGACCGCAAGGACAAGCAAGCGTTCCAGTACCTGTGTTGGGCCTTGCAAAGCCAACTAGAGCTCCTAAAGATGCTGATTGACCTGAAGGGGAAGCAAGGAGCAGCTGCACAAGCATGGAAGAGAGTTCAAACTCGCCATTTGCAAAAAGGGCTACTAAGCATACTCACCTGGAGGAAGCGGTTCTACACCATGGAACGCAACTATGGTGATGGGGAGACCATGGTGCAGTATCTCCAAAGGGTGGATGAGTATGTGAGAGCCTTGGAGGAGTTTAACTACACAATGGTTGGGAAGGAGATCATCTACACCGCACTCCAGGGGCTGGACCAAGAGGCGAACGAGGCCCTACTGCAGTACCTTCACCTTGAGCAACAGAAATGGACCAAGGCCTGGATATGGGAGGT